TGTACTGTGTATGTATGTTACCTATATCCAGCTAAACCAGACATTTTAAAGTAAAGGAAGATACCGCGGTCAATGCCAGGCACTATAGTTTGTCAGTAATTATACAAAAAATTAAGTCAAAGGGGAAATTAAGATAAGGTTCTTCTCGTCGGGGAGGGGGGGATTTCTACTTTTATCTCGGAAGTAAAGAAGTTTGTATAATATCAGCTGATATTACGCTTCCACACTACTACCTGATAGGAGTTAATACTTGTTACATCTTGTTTATTTCTTTACAAATGGCAAGGGCTTTACGCTTAAAAAACATTGCATTTTATTCCCGAAGTTAAATTATTTTTTAGAATTATTTCAAGGTTCTCTGAATGACTTTATTACCAACCCCTGTTTAATGATTTTTAAATGAATTTTACAAATACAACATTAATTTTTATCACTTAGAATTTTATCTTAAACTCTCCCCCTCCCCCCCCCATCCCCCTCTCCCGGGGTTTTACGTTTTTCATTGAAGCGGCGGGAAGATAAGGATGATGTGATTTAATGAATCTGGAATATCAATAGTTTTTATCCGTCATTGCTACGTACATACTCATGGTGTGTGCGTCGGCTTAAAAGTGACTCTCCATTTATGTCCGATACACAAAGGTACCCTTAAGATTGCATGAGATATCCATAATTTTTTCTTTGAAAATTGATTATTTTAATTGCGGTTTAAAAGTTACTAACACGTTTCTGCATCAATAACAATGTAAGAAATTAATCCCTTTATTTTAACTTAATTTTAAATTTAGAAAATCTGTGACTTCTTCAACAATATTGATCAGATAAAGGTTTAAAAGGTACTGTTGTGAATCAGGCATGGCCCTCTACAAATGAAAGGACAACTAAATGTTTTAATAATAATTGTTTTCTTTAAAATACAGGATGACGATTTATGTACAAACATTCTTGTGAACCGTACTGCAGAGAATGTTTACATAACAACTTTTCCAACCCTATCAGAAGTACCTTTTTACTCCTTATTAGGTAATTTTTAATGTTAGGTAATTTAGATATTTATGAAATATTATTTGACTAAACAAGACAAAAAAATTTACTGTGATATCCATTATTAAGTGGTAAGTTGTCTCGTTTGTTCTTTAAGAAACGATGATTTTTTTATTTTTAACTATTTTCTCTACATTAAATATAACATAACAGCGATGTTTCTAAAGACTGAATGAAGACGACTTTTTATTCCGCTTTATTTTAGTTTTACCGTCTTTTTTTTACTAGAACTAGAAGCCCTAAAAGAACTGCACATTTCAAATGACATGGAATTGAATGCGATTCATTTCAAGGTAAAGTTATTTCTTTTGGGAAACGATTCTTTTTAGTTTAATAAGAAATATTAAAACTTGATCATTTCAAATAATAAATGTTTGTTTTATTATTAACTCAACATCACTTTCTCCCATTGAGTTTTTTCGTCCAGAAACAATATTATTTCACTAATTTGGATTGATAAGGTTATCACGGGAAGATCTTTCTCAGTTCCGAGCTGCACATGATTTTGTGGTTCAGAAGTGGGATTGATGTGGCTCGCCACCATATTTCTCGTCCAGTAGACTTAAGAATTAATTTTCTAGAACTACTGCACCCCCCTTCTGCAGAGGTTTGGAGACACCCTCACCACCCTCCACCTTGGACAGCTGGAGTACATCAGTATACAACAGATTAGGTAGGAGTGTACAGCTGGAGTCTATCAGTTTATAGCAGATTAGTTAGGAGTATACAGCTGGAGTACATCAGTAATCAGTATACAACAAATTAGGTAGAAGTATACAGCTGGAGTACACAGTATACAGCTGGAGTACATCAGTTTACAGAAGATTAGTTAGGAGTATACAGCCGGAGTACATCAGTAATCAGTATACAACAAATTAGGTAGAAGTATACAGCTGGAGTACACAGTATACAGCTGGAGTACATCAGTATACAACAGATTAGGTAGGAGTATACAGTATACGACAGTTTAGGTAGGAGTATAGAGCTTGAGTACTCAGTATACTGAGGGTAGATGGAGTACATTGATTGGTAAACAGCTTGAATATCTAGGGATGAGGGTGTATAAGCTTAAATATCTAGGAATGAGTGTATACTGTATAAAAAGCTTGATTATCTAGGGATGAGTGTATATAAAGCTTGATTATCTAGAGATGAGTGTACATAAAGCTTGATTATCTAGGGATGAGTGTGTATAATCTTAAATATCTAGGAATGAGTGTATACTGTATATAAAGCTTGATTATCTAGGGATGAGTGTATATAAAGCTTGAATATCTAGGGATGACTGTACATAAAGCTTGATTATCTAGGGATTAGTGTATATAAAGCTTGATTATCTAGGGATGAGTGTTTATAAAGCTTGAATATCTAGGGATGAATGTATATAAAGCTTGATCATCTAGGGATGAGTGTATATAAAGCTTGATTATCTAGGGATGAGTATGTATAAAGCTTGAATATCTATGGATGAGTGTATATAAAGCATGATTATCTAGGGATGAGTTTATATAAAGCTTGATTATCTAGGGATGAGTGTATATAAAGCTTGAACATCTAGGGATGAGTGTATATATAAAGCTTGAATATCTACGGATGAGTGTATATAAAGCTTGAATATCTAGGGATGAGTGTATATAAAGCTTGAATATCTAGGGATGAGTGTATATAAAGCTTGAATATCTATGGATGAGTGTATATAAAGCATGATTATCAAGGGATGAGTGTATATAAAGCTTGATTATCTAGGGATGAGTGCATATAAAGTTTGAATATCTAGGGATGAGTGTATATAAAGCTTGAATATCTAGGGATGAGTGTATTTAAAGCTTGAATATCTAGGGATGAGTGTATGTATAAAGCTTGAATATCTAGGGATGAGTGTATATAAAGCTTGAATATCTAGGGATGAGTGTATATAAAGCTTGATTATCTAGGGATGAGTGTATTTAAAGCTTGAATATCTAGGGATGAGTGTATTTATAAAGCTTGAATATCTAGGGATGAGTGTACTAAGTTACAAGAACTAAGCCTACTTTGGAATCTGAATTATATTGAAGAAGAAAATGAACCAAGATACACATACTTCCCTTCACTTCACACAGCAAAAATATTCTCAGTTGATATTGATCTAGGTACAGTGAGAACAAAATTAAGCAGACTTTTTTAATTCGAATTTTCCATTTTTTTAAAAAATTCTTTATCAAATTCATGAGCGCTTTATTCTAATTATCACTAAATACTTTAATTTTTTATTGAAACAATAATTTTCTATTTGTTAACTTTAAGAGATAATTGAACTTTTCCTGTCAAGTTTCTTTCTTTTTACTTAACAATGCATGTTTTCATAAAAATCATTTATTTTTCCCATTTCTACGAAGAAGGGTAAGGAGGGGGATGATTTTTAGTCCAGAGCCTCGGAGACATCAAAAGAATCCATAAAATGTCGTTTTCTAAACCTACTGATAATGGAATGCTGCAGACATTTAGTTTTTTAATTGAATGATTATATGGAGCTCTTTAAAACTCTTCCTGCATATTTCATTGCTATATTTATTTATTTAAGAACAGAACAGAACAGAACAGAACAGAACAGAACAGAACAGAACAGAACAGAACAGAACAGAAATTGAAGAGCATTCATATCAACCAGTTTTTCAATATTTTCAAAATTATCGGAATGTTGGAATGTTTTTGAGATTCTAACTTGAGTGGGTTAACTTTTAAAGCAAAAAAGATTATGGTAAAATCGACCAAGTGTGGGAAGACGCCGGATTCCCAAGCATGTCTGTTATAATCATGTTTAATCTTGTTCAATATTGGTTTAGTCTGGTTTAATCTGGTTTAATCTGGTTTAATCTGGTTTATCCTGGTTTAGTCTGTTTTAATCTGGTTTAGTCTGTTTTAATTTGGCTCATTCTTGGTTTTGTCTTCTTTAGTCTGGTTTATTCTGGTTTAGTCTGGTTTAGTCTGGCTTAATCTGGTTTAATTTGGTTTAATCTGTTTTAGTCTGTTTTAGTCTGTTTTAGTCTGTTTTAGTCTGTTTTAATCTGGTTGAATCTTTGTTTAGTCTGGTTTCTTCTGGTTTAGTCTGGTTTAATCTGGTTTAGTCTTATTTTAATTTGGTTTAGTCTGTTTTAATTTGGTTGAATCTTGGTTTAGTCTGGTTTCTTCTGGTTTAGTCTGGTTTAATCTGGTTTAATCTGGTTTAATCTGGTTTAATCTGGTTTAGTCTGTTTTAATCTGTTTTAATCTGGTTTAGTCTGGTTTAATCTGGTATAATCTGATTTAATCTGGTTTAGTCTGATTTTGTTTGTTTTAGTCTGTTTTAATTTGGTTTAGTCCGTTTTAATGTGGTCTAATCTGGTTTAGTCCGTTTTAATATGGTCTAATCTGGTTTAGTCCGTTTTAATAGGGTCTACTCTGGTTTAGTCTGCTTGATTTTCGCCTCCTTATTTCATTATTAATTTTATTTCAGGCGCAGGAATTTAGTGAGTTTAAATGCTTGAAACACCTAGAGTTAGAACATTGTCATCAGGTGTGTAAGTTTAATCTGTAATCTGAAATCAGATGCTATAGTTTTTTAACATAGTAAGATTAACAATAATAGGGAGTAAGCTCTCTGTGTTCAGAGCTAAAAACGCTCTCCTCTTTTTGTTAATCTGCAGATTAAGTTAATTTTTATTTGATATCCAGGAAAGTGTCGAAAATTAAACCATTCAAAGGGTTGTTTGCAGAAACAGAATAGCCAATCAGAAGCCGAAAAATTAAATGGACGGTTACTTGCAAATGAATTTACGTCAACAGTCCCTTTAATCTCCCTTTTTAAGGTTACCTACAACGGATTAAGCTCCCTGGTTGAAGGACAGAATAATCTTGAAAAAGTTCAATTTATGAACTGCAAGTTGATAACAAGGTGAGGATATTTATTTTAATATAAATATTATGATCAAAAAGATAATGATAATAATAATAAAACAGAGGTTTTGGCGTAAATAATGTAAAAGCAATACTTTGAGAATAAATATATGTGTAAGCTTTTATAAAACCTTTCTTGAACTGTTTTTTTTTAAAACTAATTTTCTACCAAAATTTTAAAGAAAAAGTGCAACATACACCGGCTGTAATAAAAATGAAAATTTTCGTATTAAATCTATGTTTGTTGATTTATAGATTTTTTTATTGTTTCAGGAGAGATTTCAACCAACTGGAGCAGAAAACTAAGAAATATAATTGGAATCTTGAAGTTAAATGGGAATAAAAGGAACAAGAGTAAACACTTGTATCAGATGAACAGTTTACATCATTAGTTGACAAAGTTGCATCATAATGTATTTTTAATTATTCTGATTGTAAAAACTTATTGATTTTTTCAAGGTTTTCTACAGGGCCTGACTTCAGCTAAATAGTGAAATCTTATCAAACTATGATATACAATTTCTTAAAAACTGTAAAATCTTTTGAGTTTTGTTAAACTATAAAAATATGTAATTAAAAATTTAAGATCTACACCATTTTTTAATCCAGTAATAATGTAATGAATGTAATGATCTATCTTTAAAAACTAAATTTATTATTTTCATATTTTCAGAATGTAGTAAAATGAGTTCAGTGTACAGGAGTTGTTTGTACAGGTTAAATTTTATATAATATACTGTACACTACAGTGTACACTGTACGTCAACTATCTTCAATAATGGAATGGTCTAATTTTTATACATTATACTTTTGGAATTGTTATGAAGCATAATGGATGAATTTTGGATCTATTTTGGTTCATAGAATTTTTTTTTCTCACTTAAAAAAATACTTATAGCTCTGTTTTTTTCTTTCTTCCAAAACATTTTTTTTTAATCTGGCAACTTTTAGTTAAAATAGAGCTAAGCTTTTATCTGTAAAAATGCGGTTAACCCTGACTCATGAATTGGTAGGAATAATATTGGGACTAATTGATTGAATCACCGATCTTTGACTCATGAAACATGGGTTCTTAAGCTTATAAGGAAGCTCTATCCGTTTATTTAAAAGTTTTTGGCTCAAGTAGACTTGCAGCTATTATTTGAATGTTTTACAGTGAGTCTCAAAAATATAGGAAGACGACTTTTTAAGTTAAGTTTAAAACAGTCCAATGATAACCAAACACAGCAATTGTACACTGTACAGTGTACAGTGTACACTGTACAGTGTACAGTGTACACTGTACACGGACCAATTTCATTTTACTCTTCAAACTAATGGTAAAACCATTTGCTCGATGACAAAATCAAATCGTTTTATATTCCTCAGTTGTATGAGTCCTACGCGACGGTATAGTTTATATTTATGATTTAGAATGGTGAACTCCGGTTTATGTTCTAACCCCATTCTCCTTGGTCTGTTGGTTGGGGGACTAGTTCATCTCTTTAATGTTTCACAACAACCGGTAGGTTTATTTTATTATACAGGGTGTATTTTTAATCTTGTCAATTTTGAGTCTTCTCTAATACAGCGAAAAAAGGAAATATGTATTCTTATGATAACATTTATTACAAAATATTATGGGAGATTTTGTTTACGAAAAGATTTAGATGATTATTTCAAAAGATGTTAGAAGTGTCCACCCTCATTCTTCAAACAAAGAATCGCTCTTTTCCTAAAGTTTGGAAATAATTCGTGATGTGTTAAATATTAATGTTGTAGCGCTGCACCAAAGTTACGCAATTTTGATTGGTCAACCCCTTATATACAACCCTGCCTTGTCTAAAGAATCCGACAGAAGCCCAATAAAGTTACGCGCATGCCGCGTTGAATAACAAGACAGAGAGAGCCTGTTCTAGCCGCGACGCTTGTCCCCTAGCATGTCCTAGCTGCGGCGCTCGGCCCCCTAGCATGTCCTAAACGATTCGCTCGGCCCAGAAATTGTCTTAACCTAACCTGACCCTAAAATATATACTAATCTCTCTCTTCCTTATAATTCAACGCGGCTAGAGCGCGTAACTCCTTTAGGCAACTTCCAAAGAATCCCATTCAAGGTATTGCCTGAGGAGCTGGTTGATGAAGTTGTCCAGGAACCATCCTTCCTCGACCGTCTAGAAACAAATATCAATATATTAAAAGATATGGAGAAGGAGGATACTTATGTGAGACCTCGATTTATTAGGTAATTTACGAATTAACTCCCCCCCCCTTTAAAAAAAATGGTTGGGATAACCTTGAATCCTTTTACTTGGAAAAGGAAAATCATTTCTCCCTTTTAACAAAATAGCTTTGCCATCAATTTTAAACAAAACAAAATCTTAAAATCCACCACATAACATTTTTGAGATTTAAATTTCATAATTAATTTAAAATAAATTTAATTTGTTAAGGGATGAGATCAATATTAGCCGTAATTTGTTCATTGGAGTTCACATGCTGGATGGAGCTAGCCTCGATTACATGCAATTTTTTAATATGACGACGCGGCAATTCGCGGAGAATGCCGTCATCTTTGCTGATTCTAACAGCGACATTAAACCTGAACCAAATACAGTGATACTAAAGGATTTTAGTGTAAAGAAAATGTTGGATCATATTGTATTGAAGCACAGTGATTTTCAGTACTATTATATATTGAATAGCAATGTATTATTAAATGGACTTCAAGTTTCTAAACTGTTGGAGACTCTCCTCCCTTACGAAAATCATATATTTGGAGTCGAAAGGAAATCTTTTATTAGTGAATTGAGTCTGTTTACAGTAAATAATTAGCTTGGGAACCTAGCTTTGTCTGGAATTTCCCCAATATAACCAGACTAATAACTTTCCCCTGCAAATCGGTCTAATGGTTCCAAAGTTATGATCGAACATCCAAACAAACAGAAAAGCGGAGATTACTACTTAATATATACTTGGTTTTTAGGGCACTTTGTGCCCATCTTCTATTTTAACTTTTGATTCTGGTTTTATCTATGAGCATCTTCCATTGGTACAAAATAAAACAAAAACCAACAAAAAGTTCGCGGATTTCATAATATTTTTTCGCGCATTTCAAAATTTATAAAAATCAAAACCTTTCTACCACAATTTTTGTAATTTTTATCATCCATAAAGCTTCCCTTGGGTCATGTGAGGTCCGACACAAAATTTGGGCCCGATCGGACTAGTCTTTTTGTTTTTTATTGGACACAAACGGACAGACGGACAAACAAAGTATAAAAATACAGA